TCATTGATGCAATGATATATTGATGTATTAATAGAGATTTAGAGATAGATTATTAGTGCAAAATTAGTGAATGTGTTAGTAGGGTTAACCTTAACTATTTGGAAAGTGTATGTTAGAGGGACAGAGGGTGTGTGTGAAGGATGTGAAGTGTGTGAAGTGTGTGAAGGGTGATAGTGGAAGGTAGCTGAATGGGTATGAGTGCGTTGGATACATCATTACCAACATAATTCTTAATTTTATTCAATAAATATATTCTTAATCCATATTTGGGTTGCGTTAGGGGGAATTTACGTTTTAAGGTTTTACATTTGTGATGAAATAATTTAGTTTTCCGCGAGACAACTGCACAAAAAGTATATTATAAATAGGATATTTCGTGTGTCTTGTGAAATACCATGTTTCTCTCATCTCGCGTTGGGGGAAAAGGAGATATTTTCACTCGTGGCTACGCCACTCGTGTGTGTAACATTAATTAAGTGTACCTAATTATAACCAAATGGGGAGATCTTTTATTGGAAGCAAATGTTGTCATGTAATAAGATATCAAGATAACCTTCAAAATGAACATGATAGAGTATATACAATAGTATCCTCATTAATATACGGTTCATAGACATGATGATCTGGACAAGTGGGATAGTAGTTTTTAAAGTGAAATGTACGTTACCGTTCTTAGAAATACAACCACATGCTTCAACATGACAACAACATCAGTAAATCATCCACAGTCACTGACATGATCTTTACAAACTACATCTGTTTAAATGGTCTTTTCAAAAAGATGAATGTCAAACCTTATCAATAGTTTTGTAATGTACGTTACTGAAATGTTCGTAACCAACATATACGAAACTAACCATTTTCGTGAAATTAGCTTTGTTTTAAGGCTACCGATTGCTTTCTTAAGTTATCCCCCGCCCCAACGAAGTTGGCGGTGGATATAGAAATTGGTTCCGTCCGTCCGTGCGTGTGTGCGTCCCGAAATCAATTCGGGAGCAGAAACCGTTAAATATTTCTCTATGAAACGTTGCATGTCTAACAGACTCACGCTGAACAGGTGCCTTTTGCTTTTTGGGAATTTTAAAAAATTATATTTTTTACGTTTCCATGGCAACAAGTTGGAGTTAGGTTCTTTTAGGGTGGTGTTCGTTTCCGGAGCGTAACTCAAAAACCGTTATTTACTTTCTTACAAAACTTTGCATGTCTACCAGGCACATACTGAACTGGTGCCTTTTGATATTTAGCGCTTTTAGAATTTTTTATTTTTTACATTTCCATGGCAACAAGTTGGATTTAAGTTTTAATATAGGGTGGGTTCACTTATGGAGTATAACAAATAAACTGTTAAATATTTCCTTGCTAAACATTGCATGTCTATATATAAAACACATACTAAACTGATGCCATTTGATATGAAGGAGTTTTAGAAATGTTTATTTTAGAATTTCCATTTCAGCTATTTTGACATGGGCTATGAGAAATGTTGGGTCAGTTACCTGGTTTGGGACCATAACGTGTTAAAATGGGCGGGTGATATAGATGACTCCGTCGACTACACGCTTGTTCTCCATGTGTTGCAGGCAGCATCTGAGACTGGTTATGCTGGACACGATCATTGTGCGGACTGGTTATCGCCGACAAGATTGGTATGTATGGCAGATAGCATGTTTCTTTTTCATTTTATTACAATTGTTTGTGATCTTGAGTAACAACCAGTGGACATGTTTTAAACAACATGAAAAATAACTGCATTTACGTGTCAAGTTGAGACACTGTTACATTTTCCTCAACAAAGATGGGGAAATGTACGTTAACACTTGTAACGTACATTTGAGAAAAGGAAACCGTTTCAAAAAGTAAGTTAGTTTTGGATAATGTAGAATAAACTGATGTTTTCTGCCAAACTGACATTTAGAGAAATCTAGTGTTCTGTTAATAATGTTTTAATCACTTTATGAATGGAAGTCACTTTATGAATGGAAGTCATTAAACTTGTCCACCTGAATTCAACTTTACTTTCACGACTGAATGTAATGTAAAACTTAGATTTTTTTTATTTCCAAGTATTAGTGTGAAAAGGAATTAAGGTCGAAAGAATACTTGAAGCCATTTATATTTAATTCATTCAGTTTAATTTTAGAGGTCATCAATGTAAATTATAAAGTGTAACATACATTTCATATTAAGTAACTTACATTTCATGTTTACTTTACAGGCAAACATGGCAAAATCGCGTGCAGAAATTCAACGGCCTATAGAGAAAGGGAGAAGGAAGGCGAAACATATCTTGAATGGGAATGAGAGACGTTTACATGATCCAGTTCCAAGTGGAAAATCTAAACGCATGTTCAAATTGATTTCTTCTGACGTTGAAATTATTGGGCAACGATATGGGAATAGGATCTGATAACAATGATAATGTTTGATCATTTAATCTGAAATAAGTACACACGAAGCAAGTCATATGAGGCTTATGAATAACATACGAAGTATGAAACATATTTTAGTTCTTTATGGATGTTTGATATGTTCGTTACAGTTGAAATGTTCGTTACTGATTGGTAATTGTCTAGTTATATTTCAAAAGAGTATTGCAAACCATTGTTTTAAGTTTGCATTTTCGTCTTCCTGGCCAAATCTAGTGGTCTAAGGAGTTTGACACTTTCATTTTATACATAAAGTTTTGTTTCTCTTTCAAAATCTCTTAACGTAACTGAAAGTATAATGAAAGAAGTAAAATTATTTTAACTTGTTCACCTATATTTGTATGCAAGTAAAGAACTTGTTCAGATATTCTTGTTTTGATCAGCAATATGTATGCTGAGAACAATGTTTGAAACCAGGGTGGCCTTATATACAAATCTGGCAATGTTGAAATGTACGTTACAATTGTTGTGGATCATGAATCTCATGTTGTGGTCGGATATATATAGTTGTAGCCATGCAAATCTGAGGATATGATCTCCAATAATTGCAGGTCTTTTGAGTAGCCATTGTAAATATCTGACTGAACTTGATTCATTTTCATTGAATTCGAAGTTTTACTGTTTGAAATATTTGAAAGAAAAACGGCCAGTTGTCGGGGTAAATCCTATGTTTGATGTCTGTTCTTAAAAGAATATGACATCATGTCTATTGTTGGAATTACTGAGTTGTAATAAAATATTTGAAGATACATAAAGAATTCTCCTGTTGTATGTTGCTGCTTTATATCAAGTAATATCTTGTTTCCTTGATCTGTAGCGTACATTTCGCTACTTGCCCTCCTAAACTTTGGTTTCTTATCCTGAGCTGATAATACAACTCAACTTGAAATCCAGTGATATACATACACAATATGAATAATGCTTCTAAACCAACAAGTTACATGTGTGCTCTATTAAGTACAAGTGTGTAAAATGTTAGGGGTTAAATGGCTCTTCGTTTATTTTATATAAAACCAAAAACGGTTCATCGTATTTTAAACGAATTCGTGAAGCCCATAGACAATGCGTTTAGATATATAGAATGGTATTATGTCAACTTACTAAGTAAATACCACTTTATTGCCTTACATTTCATCTAAATCAGGAGAGATCTTGAACAAGTTCAATCAAACTTGTGTATGGGGCGAATGGATAAGCAGATACTAGGTTAAACAATGAAAAAGACGAAAAAGGAGAAAAAAAATCTAATCTTATTCATAACCGAGTTGATTTTGTCAAAATAATACCTTCACAACAATGACGCATGCCCAAGAACCCAACAGCAACTGTAACCAGAGCCAGCAGACCAATATACAACTATATGTATGAATGTCCTACAGGTTACACAATTAAGTCGGACAGAACCAAATGAAACATGGAAATGTGAATTCATTCACCGACCTTGACAGCTGTATCTCGACACTTAGTGGATATGTGGGGAAGACCATTAAAGTTGGTAAACAGTGTGACTGCAGTGCAGTGTGAAAGCCCGGTCTGACTATGACATAACCATACCGTATTACTGAACTTAAGTCCCTAGTTAAAGTGTTATCTAAGTTCAGCTGTCACTAAAGGTTATAGACGAGACGTGAAAAGGAAACGTCACACACACACTTACATACTGACCTGAAAAAAAGAAAGAAAGATATTTGTCCAATACCTAGAAGTCACTGATCAGTATTGAAATAATCATACTTGTAATTAAGGATTGACTGTGTATTTTTTTCGGTTCATTGAGGTATGAATCGAAAAACCGATGTGCAAACTGTATGAATCCGCGTAGCGTAGCGGATTCTTACAAAAGTTTGCACATCGGTTTTTCGATTCATACCTCAATGAACCGAAAAAATATTCAGTCAATGCTTATAATTAAATTCGATAACGTAAAACATGTTTTATCTACAATAGTTTAACCCAAAACAGTTGCATATATCAAAACAGACAAAAATGACGACATTGATAAACATTCCAGGTGTAGGAATACATACAGTGGCGTGACATGAATCAGGTGATCGTTTAATTTATGCACATAACTTGACACGCCTACACAGTCAGTAGCCAATCAACGGAGAGTGGGATTAAACCAATGTTCATTTGACCTGTCAATTAAGGCAAGAGGCGAAAAGAACTGCAACAGTCAGACTGTAAAGAACCGGAAGAAATATGTCCGAGAGAAGGCGGCTGTTTCAAATAACATGGTCATTTAAGGCATGATTCAAACATTACTTCCCTGATTACGGTAAAACACAGTTGGAGAAATGCTAGTTAGAAATGAAACTTGAACCGAGGCGAGCGTGAAAAAAACAGGCGAGCGGAGCCTGCACGTTTGCTGTTTCATTCATTCTCGGCCTTCGGTTTCAAAGGGTAGTTTGGACAATGAATATGAATGAAAGTTGCTAAAAGTCCTGTGCATGACGATTCACGTGAGCAGAAAGGGAATTCCCTCGACTGTAATATTGGGATTCCCCGACATTCCGCAGTAATAAAAGTAGTGCGCCGCGGCGGGCGTGGCTTAATTTTGTACATTCATTGGGAAATGAATGCAGTAACACGTGACCAATTCAGCTAATCAGAATGCAGGAATTTCCATGAACACAACGAAAATTTAATTATTACACAAGGTGTGGATCCACAAACCAACTAAACATGTTGGTGCCAACGTAATCAAGAGGACACATACAAACTATAGCCGGTCGTTAACTAAAGGAATGAAATCAAAACAAACTCACTACTGCATTGTTCAAACACATTTGATCTGTGGTACATGATGGATGGCTAAACAAAAAGCTTTATTGTTACAAGTACTTGCATGGAAACAGAGTTCAGTAAATCACACATCATGATTTTTTGCATCAGTTGTGTAGAAGTTCAGGTGGACGCCACATGACGTACGCATTTAATCTAGAATTCAATAAAATCACAAATCATGAGCACAAGTTCATGGCACACATTTCAATGTCAGCTCAAGTTTCTGATGTCTGATTAAACTCAGCACAAGTCGCTGGTGTTCCAATCAGTCCTAGGAAAGAAAACTGAACACTCTTCCTTGTCAGCTTGTGGTGGCTCTGTCATCAATACTCTGCAAAGTACTCATTGCGGGCTCCATCACATGTAACCTGGAGTTGTGTAGGTTTCAAGGAAGACCAGACACGGGCTGCGGGTGTGAGTCTTTATTACTTTGTCTAATAAATAGACACCCTGAAACACATGTATAGGGAGTAAGTAATAGTTTCAGGATAAACTTACACAGTCACATAAAAATCCGCAATAAATGATACTCTACAGAAATAATGACATTGTCATAAATACATTTTGATGGAGGCAACCATCCAAGAACGATAACTCCTTGTTAATACAAACACGAGGCAAATACTTCCTACTAGCGCACTTGTTGCTATGAATGTTAAACGCGTTGCATACTATAGACAGAGAACTATGTGCCCAACATAATTGCAAAATATATTACGCAATAATAAGTTTCGTACCCTGTGGATGACACCGAGGTGTAGATTAATTCACGTCCTCGGGAGAAACATACAGCGCTGCAATAAAATAAACAAACCACATTCAGATTATTCTAAATGCGCAAATGTTTACAAATAAGATTGAATGTGGTATTGTTTACATAACCTATGAACTTCATGGCGATAATGTACATGAAATGTCATGGTCAAACCTTTATCATTCGTCCATTAATTCATTGTGTCATTCACCCATTTATGCACCGTAACTAGCACTTTAAAGCATATGTGTTATGGGGTATTACTTTAACATCATATCTCGGTAAGCTCTTCGAAAAATTACCCTTCAAACGCATAGAAGACAAATCGTGTAGGCTTAACCCACATTGTCCTGATATGCTCCAGTTTGGATTTAGAAAAGAACACGGAGCTATTATGTCAGTGTTTACTTTGATCGAAGGCATTCAATATTACATACATAGGGACCATGCAGTTCATGCTGCTTTCTTAGATAATGAAAAAGATTTCGATAGAATATGGCACGATAACTGCATGAACTGGGCATTAGAGGATATACATGGAAATTACTACACCATTGTTATGCAAATCGTTATTCTTCTATTTCCTACCTGCACAGATTATGCAGATTAGTGGTTTCAATTGTCTGGTCGAGAACATTGACTTAACAGAACTTAGGCTAAGTTTTTGGGCGCAGAGCTGTTCCTTTACAAACCCGGATGAAATACTAACCAATACCTATGCCCGAGTACAGCTACCAGTAAGAAACAAAGGGGATGTTGTAGTGATCGACTGCAGGTAGCTGACGGGAGATCAGACTTTAATTTGCACTAACTCTCATTCATATATGTTTCTTAAGGCATGTGTTAATTTATATTTTTGAATCTTGAATGAACTAAGGGGCGGTATGGTAGACTTATAGATGTGTCGGTATGTATCAGTTTAACACATTCAGTTATACGACTTCCTACGCTATCGATACTTACACCTATATATGAGGAGTCATGTAAAAGCCGAGGGAAAACATTTGTCAGTGTGATGACGTCACGGCGGTAGTAAATTTATACTTCCTGGTGGCAGGTCATGTTTCCGCGAATGTTTCACTGTCACACATTGGTAGCTCATGGGTCGGTTGTTCAAGAAGGATTGTGGATGTGGAAATTAAAAAAAGAAGTTATAGATTTTAGAAATGTCAATTCTACTGTGTAAAACGTTGTTTGTACGTTTGGTACTTACACCGATGTTACGTCTACATAAACACAGCTTTAACACTGTCCCTTGGCACGTTATGATCGATATTCAAATACTCTTGGCAATCAGTTTCTGGTTCAGCCTAGTCTCTACCCGTGTCACTGTAACCGGTTGAGCCTAGTCCTCTACCCGTGTCGCTGTAACCGGTTCAGCTTAGTCCTCTACCCATGTCACTGTAACCGGTTCAGCCTAGTCCTCTACCTGTGTCACTGTAACCGGTTCAGCCTAGTCCTCTACCCGTGTCGCTGTAACCGGTTCAGCCTAGCCCTCTACCCATGTCACTGTAACCGGTTCAGCCTAGTCATCTACCCATGTCACTGTAACCGGTTCAGCCTAGTCCTCTACCCGCGTGTCACTGTTACTGGTTCAGCCTAGTCCTCTTCCCGTGTCGCTGTAACCGATTCAGCCTAGTCATCTACCCATGTCACTGTAACCGGTTCAGCCTAGTCCTCTACCCGTGTCACTGTAACCGGTTCAGCCTAGTCATCTACCCGTGTCGCTGTAACCGGTTCAGCCTAGTCATCTACCCATGTCACTGTAACCGGTTCAGCCTAGTCCTCTACCCATGTCACTGTAATTTAACCGGTTCAGCCTAGTCCTCTACCCGTGTCACCGTTACTGGTTCAGCCTAGTCCTCTACCCGTGTCACTGTAACCGGTTCAGCCTAGTCCTCTACCCGTGTCACTGTAACCGGTTCAGCCTAGTCCTCTACCCATGTCACTGTAACCGGTTCAGCCTAGTCATCTACCCATGTCACTGTAACCGGTTCAGCCTAGTCATCTACCCATGTCACTGTAACCGGTTCAGCCTAATCCTCTACCCATGTCACCTTAACCGGTTTAGCCTAATCCTTCTACTTGTGTCACTGTGAGTGAATTACAATTGTCAAGGTAAGTACAAACAGTATCTCATATACTCAAGAGAAATATTGTGATAAGAAATACAATACTGCGTGGCTCAAAGACGAAGTTTCCTTTTTTCTTGAAACATGTTTGCTCCCAAAACAGTCATACCCTAGAACGCCTGGTCGAGAACAAGAAACCTGATTAACAGTCGCACGAATACGTCATTAAGCTACTTCCGGTACGACACCGTGCGCTTCTCTTTAGCAGTGAGTGTAGATCTAGATCTACATCTTCAGTGTACAGAATGTCCAGGTTACCTGCTGTTGTGATTGACAATGGCACAGGGTAAGATATATATGTATGAACTCACTAATGGAGTTTCCCTCTAAGCGTTTCTCAGAGCGAAAATCGAGAAACTTAACTGAGGCATGACGAAGTCATTCGAAGGGGTGTGGCGGAAGTGAATCTGAACATGCGATATGAAGGAGTTTCTCCTGTAATTATCATTATGTATGGGTGATAATTATCTGTAATCAAAGTTATGTATTCTATATAGCAGTAGGATCCATCATGTCAAAGTAACCGATATCGAGTAAATTGGGGAAAGGAATGTGTTGTGTCCCATACCCATCCCTAGACAAAATAGTTTCCGGATTTGTGGTATTTTCGATTCATAATAAAAGTTATCATAGGTTTAATCTGTTGGCCTGCCTGCAATGTTCACAAGCAGATGTACTTTGTAATGTTGTAATCAGTCATATGTGAGTTTTCCAACCAAGCAAGTCAACATGGCATCTGTCTGCTAATACTACAAGCATGGTAGATCAGTGTTCTTACTTATCATGACTAGTTAATGGTTATAGGTCAGCACAGCAAAGAAGTATACTCGGACCCCATGGTACCGCGGCATTCATGGTATCGCCGCATTTGTGATTTCCGATAGTTCACGCGGGACACGCCTTTTGGCAGCTGTCTATTAATGCTAATCAGTAACCAGGAAGTGCACACTTCGTAAACAATTTCAATTTCCTCGGAATGTTCCGTCTGCTGTAAGTTAGGAGTTATTAATGCGTTGATACATATTTCTGGCATCTTTTGTAATATTGCCTTACCCCCATCTATCAATGGCCAACGATATAACCCACAGTTCCCCAAGTAAACTTTCTCTATCGACCAGAACTAGATCATCTGCATATTCATGGCGACTAATAAGGTAACGGAAGTTACGTATTTCGAACATTTTTTCCCGCTCTGTGCCCAGAATTTATTGGGAGATCATAAGGGCCATAATGCCAAACTTAGAAATACGTTCTTCACTAGTAACCAAAAGATAAATACATACTTTGGGCATACTAGGAGTGTTTTTTATATATTTATTGTTGACTTTTAACATTTTTCCATTTTGTGACAAATTATTGTCATCCATTTTTTTAAAAACATTCTTAAAATATCATTTCTGTTATTTTGATGTTGACTTATAAAAATATTTTTCTCTTACTTTTCGGTAAATATGCATTGAATACCTATTGCTGATAACACATTTAGAATTATTTTTACTTGTGCTGTCTTTGCACTTGTCTGGACAAATCACTGATGTCTGGCATGATCATACCAAGTGGTTGGTAGAATTATGTCCTCTTTTTGTCCAATTCGGACCTCCATACACAACTTTTCCCTGTACCGCGATACGATGGAGTTCTCTCCCTTGTCAAACTGAGCACGAGGCCCGGCTTTTACTCGGAGCTACTGATGTAAATAATGAACTTTTATAAGTAAAATATGCATTGTTTGATAACATGAATGATATCTGATACAGAGAACACGAATAAACATAAAGGTTAGTGAGTGCATTTTGTTCCGTTTAGCGTACATAACAAGTACCGCGATACCCCCAGGTTGCAGGTTATTACTAGTTGCTAACTCCATATTATGCTAATTTATGGTTTTGTGACACTCTTGGTGATAGTCCCACATGATAATTCCTTAGGGGTGCAGCAGATAATGGCCACATGCAAGAATGGCCCCTGACAATTTGGAGAAAATGACCCTAAATGTTAGTGCAAAGTTTGGAGAAAATGGACCCAAATATTGGAAAAACAATACTTATACAAATCTGTGGTGACTTAGTTTATTTAAAGTTTAGACATTTAATTTTCTTATTGATAGGATATTCTAGAATGTCAAAATGGTTTCCAAGTCTATCTCCGACTCCAACTCTTCCTTACATAGTGGGTCATGGAAGGCACTGCACTCATACAGTCAGTAGTCATGAAACTGTCATCTGCCCAGTCATGTACTGTTTCCACAACTGGAACAGCTGTCCATTTCTGTTAGAGTTGTGAATGTACGACCGCAACTTACAGTTTTCTTACACTAGTTTTCAGCCTTGACCTTTCAAACCGACTTTTCTTGACTTGATTCCAATGCCACCATGTATAAATCATAAGTTGTGCCACTTATTATATCTAATCTAATTGTCTTTGAAAATGTGGGCTTTTTTCAAAAGTTAGGCACAAGCTCCCCCTCCCCATGAAATTATCTCTGCCACAGTAGAGATAATTATTGCAGTTGCAGTTTGTTCTTACATTGTTACAAAAATAGACGCTCACAGACAACACTGCATCTTCCCGAGGCAAGCGTGTCCACTAGCCTATATCAAAGCCTACTTTCTACCCTTGCCACATCAAGGCTACTTTTCTTAGCTCGAACCTGGTGCCACCTCACGTAGATCATGAGTTATGCCTCTTATAGTGAAAACACGATATCCAATCATATCACTTATCTGGTATAGCTTCACAAAAATGGCAACTACCATAGGCAACAGCCTCTTTGATCAGATAACCAAAGATTCGTGATTTCATCCTTGACACAAAAACATAGGCAAATGTTGGGGGGTTTAAAAGATTAAAAAGACATATTCGTGTCAACAAAGACAGGGAGCGGTAAATCACTTTCATATGAAGGTGTACCAGTCGTGGATGTTGATTGTGTATCCCCTATCAATATGTGTGATGGTCCAGTCATATTTACCACAGGAAAGTTGGCTTGATGTGTTATCTTTGATAAAAGGGCTAGTGGGCGCTCTTGCCTCAGGAAGATGGTAACACTGTGCATCGCAGTAACATTAAACTCTCAGGATGTGTCGTCAAAAATAGCCCTGCATCTGAGTTACTGCGATAAGCACTCAGTGGTTTGATGAGTTTAACATACAATGAAGTTTTCACTCAAATATATGAAAGGCAAAAGGTACTTATTAAAATCTTGGAAAGACTCCACGTATCCTTTTTCTTCACTTAATTGTTGGAATAATTCCTGTGTACACAATATGACCTTTGATATTGTTGACAATGCTATTCGTCAATCTGTTATAGTTGGGTGTAACATGTTCAAGGGGAGAAACATAACTGGAGTACATTGGAAAGGGCAACTAAACTACTTATAACACTTGCCTGGTGACCACCAGGGAGACAGCTCTGTAATAAGTCACGTCACTACATCACATCGTGTGGTTTGCTGCTCCCACTTTTGACCATGGTTCTGGTGAAGACTTGATTCCATTCAAGGCAGTTCTATTTCAGACCATGCTGACTGGCGCATACATTAATCAACACTAATTTCTTACTGTGCTATTTGAGCTAAGTATATGTATTCAATTAATCTTTGTCTGATCCTGTATTACTCCTTAATGCATTCACTGCTTACCTTACAACAACCAAAAGACAGTGTACGACAATGGTCTTGGGTGAAGAAATAAAGTTGTTTCGCATTCCACTCCTGCTTTTTGTATGGAACATCACCGCTGTCATGTGACCTTGATGACAAGTCACCTTCCTCACATCACTGCCTGTCACAGTACAGCAAGGACGTGTCTCAGCGGAGCTCTTCAACATGGGCTATGTTAGACCTTCAGCTCCGGCAATAATTCTCAATTTTATCTGCGGGTGATGTATTCTCTTTATATTACTTTCACTAAGTTGTGTAGTTTTATGTGGGTTACTTAGGCGTAAAAAGACTTTGTCTTTTTTCCCGCCATGTGCTTGTTGTTTTCCGCCATTTTGAATTTGTGTTTGCCTGCAAGAGAAGTCAGATTGTTGACATATTCATGTGTTTTTAAATACTAGTAGCTTTGACGTTACATAGAGTTTGCTTGTATCAATCTTTGTATACACTTTCAACAATATTGTTTAATTCTGTGGCAATCTTCCAACTCCATTTTATCAACAACTTTCTATTTGCATAACTTATGCTTGCGTGTTGTACTACATTGTCATGGAAAAAATCTTCCAAGGATCCTCATCTACTTTGTTTGGCAAAACCGCAGATTGCTCTCCAAACTTATATTGCTGAGTGCGGCTTTAAACAAACAACCAAACAAAAGGAAAGGATGATTTTCCTACCCATGCGTTTGTGGTAGCAGACCAAGCTCATAGTTTGGATGAGGACATACAAAGGATGACTGGCTCGTCGCGGCCAACCACACTTAAGGTACAAGATACCAGATTTGCGTTCATAGAAACAGAAATCAGGCGTGTACTGAAACCTTTGTCAGCACTAGCATCGTCAACTCATGCGGTGGATCAGGATCTATCAAAGGATAACCCTTACTGATTAGTTCATCTCCAAACTATGGTGGATTTCCAATAGCGTCAGAAACCATCTTAAGACCGCTCTGGCGGATATTACCGTCACACGCAGACTTGGTTATTTAGCGCTTTCCAACTGCAATTTGAGTTCAAGCGCAGGCTGCTACGTAAACCTTGGTCATCTACCTCTCTGTTCAATGAACAGATTGAAGACACACACGCCAAAGTTTCCAATTACGCTCGGGATGAGACTGCACTCAAGGCTCTAGAGCACGTCTCTCACAGTTTATTCCAACGGGAAGGCAAGTCAGGCAATTATAGGCCTAGACGTGAGTCTCTCAAGGAACGCCAGGACCACGATTCCTTTCGTGGGAAAGGGCGTGGCAGAGGGAAACCTCAAGTTTCTTATCAGTCCCATCATGGTAAATAGGCAGGTGAAGAGGTGATAAGAGGGGTAAACACTGAAGTGTTGGACAGTCACGTCTGGGAATTCCCGTCCCCAGTCGTCTCAGTTGTCAATACCCCTGTAGACGAGAGACTGAATCTGTTTTGGAAGAACTGGACTATTCTCAAGGACAATTATGTACCTAACGTACGACGTCACGGTTACCTTCTGGACGTAGATATAATACCACCGTTGAGAACGGCTCCTCCTCCTCGGAAGTATCCAAGAAAGCAACATCTGCTATTAAAATCCAACATAGACATACTGTTGGTGAAAAGAGCTGTAGAGATTGTACACACAGGTCACATGACAGAGGCGATGGTCCATACAAAAAGCAGGAGTGGAATGTGAAACAACTTTATTTCTTCACCCAAGACCATCGCTGTATGCTGTCTTTTAGTTGTCGTAAGCTAAGCAGTAAATGAATAAGTGAGTGAGTGAGTGAGTATGGTTTTACGCCGCTTTTAGCAATATTCCGGCAATATCATGGCGGGGGACACAAGAAATGGGCTTCACACATTGTACCCATGTCTGGAATCATACCCGGGTCTTCGGCGTGACGAGCGAACGCTTTAACCGCTAGGCTACCCGACCGCCCCTGTGAATGCATTAAGGAGTAATGCAGGATAAGTATACAAGTGTAAAAAATGTTTAGATTTTACTAATTTTGGTTCATTCTTTCTATATTATTGCATTCCATTATGTGTATATTCAAATAAGTGCCGCACAAATTCACAATTATGAGTTTCAATGTGCTGTGGTGGTGTTAGCTTTCATGGGTGTTTGTTTTCTTCTTTTGTCAGGTATACAAAAATGGGCTATGCAGGGAACACAGAACCTCAGTTCATTATTCCCTCTGCTATTGCCATCAAGGAGGCTGCCAGTGTTGGGGACCAGGCTATTCGACGACTAGGAAAAGGAGTGGAAGACTTGGACTTCTACATAGGAGATGAAGCTCTTGGTGCTACTGCTTATTCCGTCAAGGTTTGAAAATCAAACTCCATTAAGTGTAGCAAAATAAGGTGTGAGAATTTGTCTTAGACCTTAAAACTGAGTTTAGATAAGCCACATAGTGATGTGAACTTCTGGTCTATCTACTTCCCAGGCCTGAGCACAAGGCATCAACATCCAGTTCTGTGGATTTCATTGTCAGAGTGAAGAAAATGTAACCATTTACTGTCTGAAATCATGTATCTTTTACCAGAATAGTAATGTTGACCCGTTGTCAAAGTGTGTGTCCGAGAATTTGTGGGAACATTGTGGGAAATAGTGATTAATTTTTTAATCTGTCAATAAAAAATGGTAAATTGAAATGGAATACGTATTTCAGACATTGTGAAATGTGATTGATTTAATAAGTGAATGATATGACATGAAGGTTCATAAAATAATATATTATTTGGTGTGACTATGGCTTGGCCGGTCTATTGTTGCTGTTATGTTTGGCGACTCAAGGCTTCTTGGCTGGTGTACCGGCCTACGGTGTTGAAAGAGTTTATTTTTTACTTATCCTGCATAAATCCTTTTGCATTCACTGCTGACCTAACAACAAAAGGACAGCGCAACACCGATGGTCCTGGGTGAAGAAATAAAGTTGTTCTGAAGTCTTTACTGACCACCACTGCTGTCCTGTGAACTTGATGACACCTAAGGTCACCTTCTTCATATCACTGCTTGTCGCACTCCTTTTGGATTAATTTAGACCTTCAGTTTTCGTCAACAATTCTAAAATTGATCTGCGATGGGCATGATGGGTGATGTATTCTTTTCATGTTACTTTCACCATGTTGTGTCGTTTTATGTGAATTAATTTGCTGCCATTTTGAATTGTGTTACAATTGTTTGAGTGCCAAGGTAGTCAAATTGTTTACAATTTTTTAAATACTTCTAGCTTTGGCGTTACAGTGAGTTGCATATATATATATTATTGTATACACTTTCAACTCATTAAAATATGTTTACCAATAGATTATTGTTCAATTCTACGTCATTCTTCCAGTACCGTTTCATTAACACTTCTTTAATTGCGTACCTTATGCTTTCGTGTTGTACTTATTAAATCTGCGACAGGGGCGCCAGCGTCTCAAGACGCTTTGATGGGGTTAGTGCAGATGCAAGCCATAATCCAGTCAATACCAATGAGCATCGGTCTCAGTTACTTGTGCTTAACTCAGCGCCTGACTACTACCCAAGCGCCTCTTCAATGACATCAGCGTACAATGTTATGCATCACTCCACCGGCTCAACTAAGGCCTTACCTCAATTGGTGGACGGTAGAGTTGAATGTCTTAGGAGGAGTCGCTTTATCCTGGATATCCCCGAGTCTACACATGTTTATAGATGCCTCTTTTCAGGGGTTGGGGTGCTCACTTGTAAGGCCAGACAGCCTCATTGCTATGATCCGGCGCTCATCGAAAGTGGCACATAAATTACTTGGAGTTGGAAGCGGTAATGCTGGCCATATCCCATTGGCAGACTCGCCTACCGTCTGCCCAACTTGCAATATCCACAGACAACAGCACTGTGGTGTGGTGCCTGCGAAATCTGGGAACAAAGCACTCCCACTCCCTTCTTCAACAGACATTCAGGTGGTTCTTATTAGTGGATCATCTGGAACTACAGCTCATAGTTCAGCACATCCCGGGATGTCAGAACTTACTGGCTGATGCCTTATTGCATCCAAACATGGTGGCTCCCACCGAGGGGAAACTTCACATAGAAGCACTCCAGTTACTGCTTCAGAAGTTCGGACAACCATACATTGACTTGTTGCTACGTGCCTGAACCACCAACTCATGGCGTATGTCTCCCCGTTACTGGATCTGCAGGCTTGGGCAGTGGATGTATTCAGCATCCCTTGGGAATGACTAAAAGCGTATGCTTTTCTGCCTCCAATTTTACTTCCCAAGGTGATACAGGGGATCAAGGAGACAAGGAATCTTGCTCTGACTTTGATCACGTCCTGGTGGCCGGCGAGAGCATGGTTCGTCGAGCTCAGAAAAATCTAGCAGAAGAAGTTCCGCTACCCCTCCTACTGTGGTCCAACCTCCTCATCCGCCCTCACAGCAAACTGCCTCACCCAACATCAGACAGGTTGCGTCTGCACGCTTGGTTCTCTTAGGTGTTAAGTGCAAAGGGCTATTCGGTGCGGGCAGCAAAACCCATAGCTTTAGCTCATCGTTCCTCTCCCAGAGGACTATACGATGACAAGTGGGGACCATTTGAGACTTTTTGCTAGGCAAAAAAATCACGATTACGGCACAACAATTCCTAGCGAAATACCTCCTACATTTGCGTACCCAAAGACACTTTAAAGGTAGCACCATCACTACATATTTGGTTGCACTTAACTCAGTGTTGGCCGTTCCGAAAAATTGCAAGATGACTAAGGTCCCTGAACAACAGGCCGGACTACGCGCATTCAGGCTTGAGGATCAGGAGGCCAAGTTCCGCCCACCTGCTTGGAACTTGAATGTGGTACTTCGAGGTTTGTGAGGACCCACCTTTCAGCTCCTGTATGCCTCCACATTTTATGCCCTCACCAAGAAAAAAATGTTTTTTTCTTGGAATTAGCCACAGCGGCACGGGTGAGCGAACTTCATGGGATCGATGTCACTTGGGTCCGCTTTGAGCATGGGACGCACGGAGCAGTACATCTCGGTTTGTGCTCGGATTTTACTGCAAAATCAACTACCAGGCCAACCCCATCATTCCTTCATCCCACCAATTTTTACTTTTGTAGGAGCCAGAGATGAGGGTGAGTTGAGTTTTCGTCCACCGCTCCATGACTAGGCGTGGTTCGAGGAAGTGGTTATTTATACCTGTGTCTCCTACGTCCACCACTGAAGTTAGTGTGGTTACTCGCAGTCATCCGTCAGGCTTACAAGATCGCCAAACAGGATCTGTCGGGAGTGAATTACCCTCACGAGTTCAGGGTGTTAGCCTTTACCATGGCTTTACTTAGCAATTGTTCTAGTAGAACAATCATGGAAGGATGTTTTTGGAGGTTCGATACAGTTTTAGCTAGTCATTATCTTCGCGATGTGGCTCTCAAGGATGTCAAAGGCATGAAAAGTTTTGGCCCTCTGGCTTAACCCAGCAGGTTACCATCCCCCGACACTAATAATGAACTTGCCCTATACAGAGCCAGCCTTCTTCCATGTGCAGTCACTCAGTTTCCACCAGTGGAAGAATATTGGACATCTCGTTTGTCAACACGGGCTCTGTGACGTAGTAAGTAAAAAATTAGCTGATTAGCTATTGCTTTATTTATTACTAAATGTGTATAGGGATTTTCTCTTTAATTCCTATGTTCAATCGTTTTGATATTTGAACAACCCTTCAGTAATAGCGTTTTTCTGAACTTTCCCGCTCATGGTTTATCGACCAACTGGTGTCGTATTTCAGGGTGTGAATTATTGAGTTTTCTGTATTCTGAAGGTTCACCCACCTCCAAACCGTCTGATACAGATGCATTAAGGAGTAATGCAGGATAAGTAAAAGATTTAGTAAACTCTAAATAGTTTTTACATTTGAATACTTATCCTGGATTACTATGTTTAAGGCCCACCCATCGCAGACTTGCCTCCCCACTTTGGCTTCAGAGTATCAAAAGTATGTTTTTTCTCAGAGCTCAGGTGACAGACAGTGATGTGAAGAATGTGACCTTAGGTGTCATCAAGGTCACAAGAAAGCGGCAGTGGTCAGTAAAAGTGGGACTTCAGAACAACAACTATATTCCTTCACCCAGGGCCATTGCTGTTGCGCTGTCCTTTTGTCATAAACTAAGCAGTGAATGCATTTAGGAGTAATGCAGGATACGTATACAAATGTAAAAAATATTTCGATTTTACTAAAATTGTGCTGATCATCGTTTTCCAAAAAGGAAATTCAATTTGTTTTTGCACCTATTTTTTAAAATTATTTTTGCATATGAGTCATAATTATCTACAGAAATACTCATCAGTCACTTTCATTGATTATTAAGTGTGCCCTAGGGGCACGCAGGTAAGAATTCACTGTGCCATTACAGTTTTAGGTGTGCCCTCGGCAGCATGGTACTAATAATTTCGAAACCCTGGCAATCTTTAATTCTGATGATATTCTTATGTTTCAAACAGCATTACCTTGGACTTGCAATATAATACAAGGGGTGTTTCGGTAGCCTGGTGGTTAAAGAGTTAGCTTAACTCGCCAAACCTGGGTTCAATTCCCATCATGGGTACAATGTGTGAAACCCATTACTGGTGTCTCCTGCTGTGATATTGCTGGAATATTGCTAAAAGTGGTGTAGAACCATACTTATTCACTCAGTGTAAGACACTCAGCCGCAGCCATTCACTGTGTGTTTGCACATAGCAAACATATGTTGTGTCCAGTTAAACCCTGGATGTGCACTTTCAACATGTTAACTTAAAAATGAAATATAAGAAGTAATTGTTGATGTGACTGATTGTGGATTTTGAGTGTCTGCACCTGCATGTTTCAGTGGCCGATACGACACGGAATTGTTGAGGACTGGGATCTGATGGAACGTTTCATGGAACAAGCTATCTTCAAGTACCTTCGATCAGAGCCTGAAGATCACTATTTTCTCTTGGTAACTATCATACTCATATACATTTCACTACTAGTACAGAACCTTTCAGAATGTTCCTAATAAAATGTTCAAGTGACAAAATGGTTTCATGTAGAATCACTAGGATCTATTGAACGAGGTAGTGTGGATTTTGGATAAGAATAGATCGTCAGTGCATCATGCTTATTGTACAAAATGCCTGAAAGTGAAGTAGGAGATTGGATTGTTACTTAGCTAACTGTGAGTGACCTGGCTTGTTATGTGTTACATTTGGTTGTGCTGCGATGGCATGGATAATTTTCTGTTCCAGACTTGATATTTACACTTTCAGACGAGCTTGCTATATCAAGATACATAGTCAGACTCTCTATTTCTGATCTCTCTGTTTACATGATATTTTATTTTTCCAGCTACTTTCTATGTACACAATATCTATTGAGTATTTGATTAATTATTATGCAAATAATGATGTTCTGGCATAGCCCACTTGGAAATCCTGCCTTGTGTAATATTTTATGGCATTTTTATGATAAATATAAGAAACTGCACATTTTGAAAGAAATATTACTCCCCCCTTCAGAAATATACCAATATTTTATCACATCAGAGACAAATTTCTTCCAAAGTCCATGGGCCTATAGATATAGCTTTATGTTACAAACCATCCCATTACGTGTAATCAAAACAGTTGAAAACCAGTTTAACTTGGCAATAAATGTTAATTGTTTAGTTGTTGGGTTTAAGCATTGCTTCTGTCATATCCCTGTGCTGTAGTTCAGTGTAGACTTTGGTGTTAGTGCATGTACATTCTTCTCCATGTCATTTCCTGTTTGAGACAAGCTGATGTCGTCAATATCCGTAGTCCATTCATTCGACATGTCAGCTATCTTACTTGACATGTTGATTGATGTCGGCCGTATTACAATCTGATGAAATTTCTAATTTATAGTGACCTCATATTTGTGACGACATGGTACAAATCAGTTACCACCTTCAGTAATCGAGATATCCCTACATAGACCATGATTGGTTGTTGATTGACAGGTGCATGGCACTTGGCTCCACCTTCGTACTAAGCCCTTGTCCATCAATGACCTGGCCATATTTCTGGATATCTCTCATATATGAATGTGGTAAGTGCAACATGCTCACAACATATTTTGGCCTGTGTCAAGTTTGCAGGGAGTTTCAACATGTTTCTCGAAGCATGCTTGCCTCAGGTGCTGTATAAGTTTACTTAGGAGATAAACATACTGTGTTTTCAATGTAGAGGTAGGCTACCTGTAGATTTAACTGTGCTAAATTGAGGTTTCAAATTTTACATTTTTTAACTTATCCTGCATTAGTCCTTAAAGCTCTGCACGCTAACGTCGAACCCATTCGACAGAGGTGTCACTTCCCGTGCATCTGATGTCGAACCCGTTCGACAGGCGAATAGCATGACGACACCCCAAAATAAAACTTGCCATATCTATTTACCAAGAAGGCTTTGCGTAACATTTTAATTACGTATGACATGCATAAATGCTCAGCTTGCTCAATATCAAAACTTTCAGTCATTTATTTACCTCAAAAAGAAAATATCGCGAGTTAAAAAAGTTTCGGCCAAACTTCTCGGCACACAACTACCAGAAACGGCCATTGTTGACTTTTGGTACTTCACGTTGAGCGGCATGCAGTCCGATATTTTCTTTATAATTTCATCATTTTTCCTATTCGATCATAAATTTTTGTTTGCTGACGAAAGGAAAACACTCATGTTCCTTAATTTCTAAAAATTAGCAACTTTCGGTGTAACTAATTGTAAACAAAAACAATCTGAATCTTATCATTGATTGGATGGAACTTGTACGATCATGGCAACGGCGGTAAACAAACAACTCCACATGCATAGTTATCCCGTTAGACTATTACAATCATTTTGTTACATCTAACTTAATTTTCTAGAATTATTGACACGAATGTATAAATCTTAAAGAGTTTGCAAATGATTTCGTTTGATAAACTTTCGGACACATTGACAAGCCGACAAACGTCAGTGATATGTTTGGGCGTGGCCTAACTCGCGATTTGTTGAGTTGAACAAAGTCAACAAACACTGCGAAAAATGACAAATATTGGATGATATGCAACATCTGAACTGATATACATTCTAGGTAAACCATTCAATAGCAAAATAATGCAGTTTACGAGAAATAATCAAAATACTTGCAATTTTAGCTATCATATCTGAAACCAGAAGCACGTATCGCATGTGACACATGTAAGCAAAATATGCAAAAGTTGGTAAGCTATCATAAAGAAATTCCGAAATAGATTCAAATTCAAAAGAAAATACATAATTTACTATTTTTCGTCAACTATTTACTATTTATTGATCTGGAGAGCAGTCTTCACTCCTATTTGTTTCATATTTCTTCGTGATTGTCGCCATCAAATGTGTATGTCTAAATCCGAAACCGTAATGGATTACAAGCTCGATGATTTTAATTTTAAAATATTTTCTGAAAACGAACGCAACGGAGAGCGATATAACGTATTGATATGCCATATTAATAACAACATAATATTGTTATTGTTCTAACATTACAAAAAGAACAATTTAAAATTTTAAAGATGTTGTTGAAAACTTTCTGAGAACCTCCCGTCCTCTGAACCGATAAAACTTTGGTACACGACGAGTTAGTGTAAAATACATATATAGATTCTCGGCTCCTATATGTGATTTTGTACCCAAAACAAATTAAATTGTACCCAAAATACTTTGTGAATTTGTACCTAAGAAAATAAGACAATAGTTCTATAATTATATTTATGTTTTCATGTAGATGAACAGAAAACATATAAAATATTTCATCAAGTTCATAATATGATTATGACTGATCCTTGAAATTGATTGTTTAGTTTTGAGAGAAAATTGACGCCTTGTCACTGAAGAAGAGGCCAGTTAAGTTGGTTAAACCTAAGTTAGAATGTATTGTTTTGATAGGAAAGTGATATTATGTTAAGTATAAGACACCAAAATTAATGAATATCTTTGGAATAATTCTAGGTAGATCTACAAAATCACATACCCATTTGGGTAACAAATTACTAGACATTTTGGGTACAAAAGTCACCACTGTACATTTCAACTGGTTTTCGTGAATCAATGGGATAAAAAAAATTCGTCTGATTCCATTTCTCATTTTAAGACAAGAATTTGTTTTACATAACAAAACCGGCAGATCAACACGGATCACATTTTTTCCTAAAAATATATAAAAATGTGAAAAATATGGACACCTCAGAAATGAGGGCTTATAAGGTTATTATTCTACCTAACTTGTCACATGGTTTGACTTAGATCTAGGTCTATCTATGAAAAGTCCTTATGAAAATCTTTTTTAAATTTGTTTATGACACTGACATTTCTGGCACTTAGACAAAGAGTATTCACGGAAAGACAGATATGTTTTTGAATGAAAATATGACTTTCCTTTATAATTCTTTTTTCATGATGACAGTGGAACTTTTATACACACCAGCTGAGGAAGTTGTGATACTGTGATTGCATACAAAGGAAAAACAGGTTGGAAGCAGTACCTGTATGTATAAAATAGACCACATAAGGTGAACAAAAGTAATGGATTGGCTGACTGGAAAAAATACATCTGGCAAGGGTAAACATGTACACAGGCATGTTTCTTTTCATTCCAACCAGAAGACTGAGATAGCATTTTCTAAGAAACATATGGCTAACTTACCAGCTTATGTGCCACTATGGTTCTTGTGATTAAACAAACAAAAATGTCATGTACTGTTACAAGTACTGTTACTGTAATTAATGTATCATATTCCTATTAAATTATATTTCAGAATTGTTTTATTTGGAAACAAACCACATAATGCACAAGATTAATATCCATATGAGTTAAGTATGTATATGTTAAGGATATGATTTATTCATTATTCATGGAATACTAAAACTAAAATGATGATATCAGAGAGTTACTTATTCACATAGTTGATTTTCAGAGTGAAAGATAATAATTGTTGAAAAAATAGGTTTAAACTAAAGATAATAATTGAAGTTTGATCAGTTACACTGTGCTGATGCAAAGACCAATATTTACTATCCCCACACACCATCATTGTGGAAAAAGATAACTACTAAATATAACTTAAAATTTTAAAACCTGTAAACAGCTGTAAATAATTAAACAATTACAAATCTATCATCATTACCTAATCATGGTGGTCTTCATATTTTTGGAATAAATTTAGAAATCCTTCGTGAAACTGTTCTAAAATCATGCTAGAATCTATGAATGTATTCCCGAAAGGAAAACTATCCCAAATGTAACGTGGTACTAACACAGAAAATATGTACGTAGCATTTTATTGCTTATATATACCCTATCATATTCAGCAACGTGGGGATGATATTTTGAAACACGTTTTGTCAAGCCCATTTTCGCGCACCTGTTGTAGAGGGTGATCTTGCTGATTGACGATATCCATAGACGTATTACGTGGGATACACTTGTTGTAGTGAAACTTATCAGCGTGTACATCGCAGAAATATGAATCATGTCCCATTTATATTCACCATTCAACATTGAATGGTGATTCTTAAATATCAACAGAAGTTCAAATAAAAGATACCGAGAAACTTGCATGTGGCATGTTGATTTATCGTCTACCGTTTCCGGGTCACGGGAGCATGCAAGGTCAAACTAATACGTGAATTATATCGTCAAAGTCACATTTTTATTTCATGTTAGTGGTGATTACTGATACTGTGTATCGACTTATGTTTTTGCTGTATGTGATAGGCGAACTATTACAAAATTTACTGTAATGTTTTTGTTACGTAAGATTATCAGCAGACTACCCCTGTCTGTGACATCACATCCGGTAACCTTTGCACTTATTGAAATAGTGCTGTCAGAATTCACGATCTTTATTTTCGTTTTTCTCTTGTCATATTTATCGGAATATGACGAATAACACATTCTTCGATTGAGAAGATTGTCAAC